GACTTATTTACCACTTCCGTGTCACTGAGAATGTTCTAGAACCATACTGTGTCTGAGTGGAATATTCTAGATTTTGTTTAGAAACTGGTTGAATAGGTAATAGAACACTGTAGGAGGCAATAGAAGGTAATGGAACATTCTAGAAATTGGTAGTAAGTTCCAGACTCATTATGTATGCTGATGTAATGGTCTATTTATAGACAGTGTGGGTATATATAGGGGAGTTGTTCAGCACTGAGTTCAGATCGGAGATCTCGTTGAATTGTATTGGAGTTTAAGTATCTACATGTAGTTATTGGAGTCGTGGAGTTTTACCGTGTTATTGTACTTGATGTTTGCAGAGTATAATAATACCAGTACCAGTCAAAATCTCATCTGTTGGCTCCGTGTTCGTATTTTATCATCGCCGCCAGGGAAGTCTTTCTGTTACTGTTGCCATTTTCATGTACTATACCAATTACGGTAATATTACGTTGCGTGTGACAGTGTCTTTATATGCGTAAATACGTGGATGGTTTCAAAAATTTGTTCAATCGCAGCGGATCAATAGGTGATTTTCCGAACAATTGCGAGATCTCGCGAGATGCATGAAAGACGCACGTCGAATGTCTGCTGCAAAAATCGAACGATTTGATTTTGAACTAGAATTTCTTTATTTCGCAGCTTACATTGACCGGCCGATCTTCGACAGAGGAATATTGCTTCCGAATACCCTCACTTAATCGAAATTGCCTATCATCAAATGTGGACAGCACATTATTAAGCATGGAAGTGTCCCCGAAATACTTTCGCGTTTGTCGAATCCCACGCGATGTTTGACGCGACTACGACGCTATGACCTTTGTTTGTCCTGTTTTTACGTTCGATTTCACGCATAACGCGTGATTCTCGCAGTGTACGGAAAATGGTCTATTGTCCACAACATACGTTCAAAGAGAACCATCAATGTATGCAAATGAAAGTATATTAGGATGTACTGCACAAATTGTTTTATTTTCATTACAGAAATGACGATAACTTATAGAATGACTCGGGGAGGGTTTATTTTCATTACAGAAATGACGATAACTTATAGAATGACTAGGGAAGGGTTTATTTTCATTACAGAAATGACGATAACTTATAGAATGACTGGGGGAGGGTTTATTTTCATTACAGAAATGACGATAACTTATAGAATGACTGGGGGAGGGTTTATTTTCATTACAGAAATGACGATAACTTATAGAATGACTGGGGGAGGGTTTATTTTCATTACAGAAATGACGATAACTTATAGAATGACTGGGGGAGGGTTTATTTTCATTACAGAAATGCCGATAACTTATAGAATGACTGGGGGAGGGTTTATTTTCATTACAGAAATGACGATAACTTATAGAATGACTGGGGGAGGGTTTATTTTCATTACAGAAATGACGATAACTTATAGAATGACTAGGGGAGGGTTTATTTATTTTCAAGAATATTAAATATTGTACATGTAAGACCAATGGCCTATAGTACTGAATATAGATATATAACAGTGTTCGGATTACTTTCGGAAATTCCGTCGCGTTTCTGAAAGTTTTAATTTTCAAAACTTTTGAATATGTATTTGTACTTTTAGGTTAGTGAGGAGGTTATAATAATTTGTCATTTCACTTTAACACTGTTTTTTACACCCCTCAGACCCCTTTAAAAAGTCACTTTCTGAATGGCCAGAATATTAACCACTGTTTTTACAACGGTGGTTTTAATGACCCATGTTTTTTATACTGGTCAGAATAATTGCAATTTCTTTTTAAATGATCATATCGGGTTTATTGAAATAGAAATACAAGTTGGTAATTCAAACTGTGGATTTCAATATCTACATTTTGTAAGTATACTTACATAAAATTTTAAGTAGAATTTCCCAAAGAATGGAAATCCTTCACGGAAATATATTGCTTCTGAGAAAACATCATCACCTTTCAATGACTGACCTTCTTGATAATATGGGTATAACATAATTTCTGGAAAAGATGAAAAACA